TGTTGTGCTCACAGTCATAACTCATTATTCTCATCAGTTCTTTCCTTCATTCTAGAAATCAAGATCAACTACTTAAGAATAATTTAAATTATTCTACCGATTCTTAGTTTCTGAAATTGGTTGTTCCAGAGGAATGCTCGCTCAGCCGAAATGGCATACATCTTTTCGGAAATATATCTACATCCGAACATGCAGTGGAACTTCATCTGCACAATACCATGGTAAAACACCAGTTACTCTACTTTTCCCTATATTTGTTCATTTCGAATTGGTTGTGACCTTTGATGTCTAAATCCTTTTTAGTTCCTACTCTTTCGTGGCAACTCCTTGGCATACAACATAGGTGGTCTGTTGGTCTCAGCCGAATCCTCGTCTTCTGTAGCTCGCCTCAATGCCGTTGTGAAGAATAATTTGTTCACGCGGAATAGCAATAGTACAACTGTGGCCCTGTACGGGAACAACTATCAGGTAACATAATTTTGTTTGTCTTCATTCATTTGATTCGGTTCTCATTTTGTTTTCTTAGATGGTCACTATGCTCAATAACATAATCTCTCACAACTATGCTCTCTACCACGATACGATGAAAATCCAGGACATGTCTGTGAATTTGACGAAAAACGTCTTTTTTGTTAATGCTGGCTTGCACACTGTGGACTCGCATGGGTAAGTGGTGCTGAACTTTCTCCTCTTTGTTTGTATTCTTTGAGTTTTTATGACCTTCATTGGAGGATAATAATGATCTTTATAAATTCAACTTGCAGATACTCACGGATAACTTCCGAAACGCAGACATTCCTCTACAACAACTTCGAGGATAATATTGCATTGGGCCATGGACATCAGTACCTGGTGAGACTAATATTAACTTTGGCTGATATTACACAAGCTGGATGTTTTATTTCATACCTATTTTTTAAAACGAAAGAGCTAATCGAACCTCTTGCATTCTGTGATTTGTTGAGAGCAACACGTATGCCGAGGTTTTGTGTATAATACTGCGGAACATTAAACTGGAAAATTTGATGATAATTCGATGAATTCGCTTCTGTTTAGGAACAATTTGGTTATCTGCCAGAAAAGGAGCAGGACGAGTTTCTGCGGAGACCCAGAAGACAGGTTAACTTTTTTTGACTACGATCTCATGATTGGATTTTTGCACTTCATCATTTTTTACTATTATATAATCATTATCTTTCTAAGGATCTCATAATAATCTTTGGCTAGATTTCATCACTCCACAC